TTTGCAATTAAATACCTATGCCTAATACCTACTACCAACTACTTGCACATATTATGTACATATCCTATCGTTTTTACATGTTCTTTTTAATAGCAAACACTTGAAAAATAGTAGCATAAGAAATGTTTCTTCATTAGGAAACATTGTTTCCATGCCAATGATTTCGATGAGAATGAGGCTTGCGCGTACTTTACTGTGCCGTGTGGTAACGCACAAAGTGTACAGTTTTTTCGTGCGAGATGCTTGTGCAGGCCAAACTGTGGTGAAGCTTGTGCGTGTGGTAAGCGCATAATACAGCACTCGCGGCTAAAAAGTGATCCGCTTAAATTGTGGTGCATGACCACAATTCGCTTTAGTCATTGTGACTTTCGAACACGCTGCATGCATGTGCACAACAATATTGAATATATTCTGTGTTGTAAAGATAAAATAATGCCTTCGATGCTTTTATAAAGAAGACAAATAGTTCAATAATAAATGCCCTGGCAACACTTTTCATTCATAAAACTATAAAAACTTTTTTGTGTCAAAAATAAGTTTGTCGTTAATGTACGTAATCGCCATTTTCTTATCAAGAAAAAGACAACAATACAGCTCGGCTGTAGCGTACAGTTCTGTACCGCTCGCTCGATTGAATGTTTATATCCAGACGTATGCGTGTGTAAGAGATGCTTTGGTAGTTGAGTCGGATCATATTTTATTTGATGTTGGTATGAGCGTACCGTACCTTCCGAAGCACGGAGAAGTTCGATATGCTTGTAATACAATAGAGCGATTGGGCCATGGCTCACAACGCGGACCCAGTGCGGATTGGTGGGTGACGACTACTAACGACTGTAGATTTTGTGCCTTCCGAAGTATGGAGGTACTCGAGATAGTAAATTTTTGGTCAGCCATCCAATAACCGACCACTGCGAAAGTTGCTTTACTTCAACGTACGCAGCCGAACGCGCTCACCACTTGCGTCATCAAGCTCTTCAAGTGTAGGCGGGTACAATAACAATCAAAAATCTTTGCTAGAGTTTATTTGGTTTGTTTGTTTTCAACATTCATATGTTAAAAAAAAGATATAACGAGAATAACATACAATAATCGTTTATTGTACGTTGTTCTCGTTATATCGCAATATTCCCGTGGGTCACAAAAATTCGCTCAAGGTCAACATATCTAGGTATACGTCCGAAGCTTAAAGTAAAATAAGACAGAATTCATATCTGTCTGCTCTGTATCGGTATTCGTCTATAGTAGTTCCCAGTGTCCTTTCAAGCCGATACCTCCACGCGTTCCTATTAAAAAGGGTCTTGACAGGACGGAGAATTAAATGATCCTACAAGGGTTGATACGGAAACTTAAAAATATGTTTCAGATAAATGCAAATTCTTTCGGAAATAGAGGCTGTAAGTACATACTTTTATAATCGATATATTATGAACTTCGATTCATGTCTTAGTCTGTAGAATACTATGGCATTTGAACTAAACGACATTTTAAATATTATAAGTTTACAGCATGAGCGACGACAACGATTATGATATACATATATATATATTATTATTTTTTCAAATTACAGTCCTAGTTTCACATTATATTTTCCTAGTAAACCCATTACTTTAACGATGGTTAATATAATAAGTGCTTAGGGCGAGAACAAGATTAAGAAATGAAAATGTATCATTTAAATATTAACAATCAAGGTTAGCGACAAAACGATAAATAAAAAGTAATAAAATTTACGTAGTACATTATTCATTACTCAATAAGGGCTGAGCTAGTTTCATTATGTAGTCTCCGGAGCAGCGTGGGAAATTAAACTATCTAACTTATTTAATGAACGACTTTGAATCATCCGTTGCCCTTCGTGGGTAACGAAATGCCTGCCTATCTGGAAGTAACAACCAAATAAGACAATGATATCACTTAAAAACGAAAAGAAACGGTTTCCATGAAAAATATTATTTATATACCATTTTTCTCAACAGTAGACATGTGTGGGAATTCTTTTTGTTATTATTATGTAGACGCACACATAATAAGGGCTTCCGTGCCACTCTGTCTTGATGTGTAAGTAACATATAAAAAACCTACTCCATTCAATCCAATTAAATCCAATAAAATCAAGTGCTTCAGCGTTTGTGGTGTGTTGTGTGTGATGTTCACACCACTGAAAACACAAAAAATATTTGCGTAAGTCACTCCAAAAATTGTGTACTACTCGATTTGTCGTTTTGACATTTTTGAACAAATTTTAATCACATTCTTTTAGCTATGGAACAGAAAAGTGTAGGTACATGCAAAATATTTGACGAATAACAACAACCTCAAGCTTTAATTAGAGCGAAAAATTTGCTTTGTCCTACTTCTTTGATCTCGATAAATCGAGATAGATTTTTATGGTAAACCATAAAAATCTATCCAGGGAGGCAAGTTAATTTAAATGTGACATGTCCCTTACATAAGCCTCTCTGCACATTATAATCGTCTTTTATACTTTGCTTCTAGTAACGGACTTGTAAGGGGAGATTAAACACACAGTGTTTACTGAATATAGTGTCGCATTACGGGTGGAGTTAATTTACCAGCGGGTTACGAAACTAATCCGTTATTAAATACCGATGTCTAATTCGCTGTTATGTTAGGCCCGGCTTCGATACTTAACTATTTGTCAATGAAAACAGCCGGTGATTATGATGTATTAATAGTGCCGATTCTGGCATGATTCTCTAAAGCTAAACTTAAATTTGACAATAATGAATCATTCTCTATACAGAATGAAGAGGACAGACTGATGTTAATTTTAGTTTTAAATTTAGAGAATCCTGCCAGTATCGACATCATTGACGATGGGTCAGTAGGTACATTCATTGTAATTTAAAACAGTTTGTGTCTCTCCTACATTACATTTCATCATTACTCTTATATTTCGATTGAACTTTTAATTTCTTATTCCGACTTAAAACGCTACATATTATGAAAATTATTATACCTATACAATCAACCAGGGTATAAACTGACTTTTGTGTGCCTCCTGAGAACTACTGATAACCATTCGTTAACACAAACTGCCATTAGATACAGTCCCTTGAAACCGGACATAATTTTATAATGTGAACAGTGAAGAGGTGTTGCATCTAGATGTGACACAGAAAATTACAAATTGTAAAGACAAGTGGACGCAATGTAAACTTAAAATTATTTGATTGATAGGCAATATTTGTGGACAGTTGATCTAAGTTCTTTGTTTTAATATAAAGATATCTTTATATTTTTATTTTTTTAGGCATTTAACTGCTAGATGTTAAATCTAAAATCGAGTCCCGTCTGCTGCCTGGTCCGCGTGGATTTTTTTCTAGTAAGATTTTCTTTAGATTCTAGTAGTTTAATGCTTAAAAAATATAACTGCAATTGCCTTCTTTAAAATGTTTAATACTTGTAAAGGTATTCATTTCGCATTGTGGGTTACCTACAATGCGAAGAGATGGCGCTGCCTTGCAGCCTAAGAAATACTAGAAGAATGCGACAGGGACGACAGGGGCGCGGCTTTAACAGACGGGCCCTCGAGGTCCGTCTGTGAAACTAGTTAACAATGTGAAATTTTGGTATATGATGTCCCATATGCTGTATTTCAGCAACAAATATTAAAAACGCCGATTCATAATGTACTTTGTAAGTTGTGACGAAAACAAACAAAGGATTATTCCTTTTGCTGTTTGTTGTACGGAACCCTTCGTGCGCGAGTCACGACTCGCGCTTGGACGGTTTCGTTATTATGTGTAAGTGCACCGTACGGCACGTACACTGATTAGGTTTCTGTACATTTACTACCATAGAAGAGTCATTGACTAAAAATATAAATTAAATATACTTGAAGGGAGACCATTTGAGAGGATCTCTTTTTTTTATTGTACCATGTTTCTTGTAAATAAATAAATATGAATATGGATCACTGATGTAGAAAATAAATGTGGTACTCCGGCTATTTTCACTCTTTCTCATTTCTTATTTATTTAAAGAAACTCTTATTTCATTTATATGAACTTGGAAAAACCTATTGAAAGGCAATACTAGAAGAATTGATGTGGGAACGAAAAAATACGTCGCGTTGATGTCTTTTGCTTGGCGCTGCAGTACTGAGGAAAAAGTACGTAGGTCGCCCTTCGTAGAGCTATTTCTATGATTTATTAATTTCTTGGATTCAAGATTCGCCGTCGATTATTGAGCTGAAATAAAATAAAATACTCATTTATATAAATTCACAATGAATTCACCGAAGTCAAGACTTAAAGTTTTAATGCGGAATTTAATAATTATTTTTTGGATGAACGTTAAAGTATGAATATTAGTGCCCGGCCCAAGTCATGGTATTTTATATAGTAATTGATCTTGTGAATGATTTATTTAGTACTTATAGTACGAAGCTCTTATTAATTTGGAATTAAGCAATTAAATAATGAGAATAATCCATCAAATGTTTTATAACTTTTGTAAAAGAAAAGCATACATTTAAGACTTCTTATTTTTTATTTTACTACTTCACCTACATTTTAACAGCTTTGTGTGATTGCATACACATTTTAGTAATGTGTAATGTAATATTACATTATAATATTACTATCTAAAAGTAAATATACCAACAAGACATAAGTGTCCTTCACTTACTTCGCTTAAAACAAATCTCCATAAACGCGGAGCCTAAACTAACAGTTATATCACGATATAACTTATTATGAATATCGTGTTGCATTACCATTTGTTATTTACTAATATGTACGTGAACACATGGACCGCGCCCACTGACTCCAGAGGCGAACGTGAAAAAGTATGACCCGTTCTTACACATATGAGATCGCTATATAAGTCTTTGCCGGTTCGGTTTGCTCTCATTTCGACCGCCCGCTTAAGTTTGGCAAATACACTTAGCTTCATATATCCAATGCGAGGTGCGAGATAAACAATTTGTTTTAAATGATATTGTAAATTTAACACATTATTTTTGTGTAAGAATGACGCCGGTGAGTGAGTTAATTACTTAGTTTTATAAGATAAATTACCAAAAAAAAAGATATAGCGAGTAATAATTCTGATTATAAAAAAATGCAAAGTTAATTCAAATCAATATATTGAATACCTATAAAATACTTTACTTATACTGATTTCATCTTTATTTTCAGATAATAATTGTACTCTTTACTCTAGCTGTAACTTCAGCATATGGCTATCATGATCCTGACCTCAACTATCACTTAAATCAAGTGCAGAAACTTCAAGAATGTGATAACAATGGCTACTCATATCCGACACCCTCAGTACAATTGACGACTGCCGGAGTAAAGGTTGCGGCCAGGCCTATCCTTCAGGCTCCAGCTTATCAATATTCTGGATACACGACGGGCGCTGCATATCAAGCTGTTGTACCGCAAACCACTTACATCACTCAACAACCTGCTACTTACCAAACGTCTTCTCTTCTATCTCAAGCTAACTATGCAACAGCCACAGCATCAAAAGAAGTGCACGGATATGCCACCTCTGCTGGATTATCATCAGTAGACAGTTCAAGACCGAGGACTGTGATTCCACAAGCGACTTACGCTCAAGCACCGATACTTGCCAAAGTCACTGCTGCTCCACTTATAGCAAGATTCTCGGTGGCACCTGCAAAAACCTCTTTTGTGTCACAAAACTATGCATCACAAGTAGCAGGGTCTGCAAGGGCTTCTCTAAATTCATACGGTGCTGTGCAATCTGGAGGAACAGTTGTCTCCCAAGTCATCGCTGCTCCTTCTGCCACCTACGCCACATCATCGGCTCTGAAGTCACAACAACCGCAACTGTTCACACCCACCCGTTACACAACCCTCTCAGCATCCGTACCACAGTACAATCAAGTCGGACCTGTCCAAGCTTATACTGAAGTAGCTCAATACGCTTCTAGTGGAAATCAATACGCAACATCTGCCGTTGCTAATGGAGTGCAGTATGTCAAACCCGCTGTGAATCAATACGTTGCTCCAGCAGCCGGTCATTATTCAGCTCAGAACGTAGCACAAGTGTCACATTACTCTGCCGCGCCAGCTGTATCTCAAGTACAGTATGCAGTGCCAACTATAAACCAATACTCCGCGCCTGAAGTCAAACAGTATTCCGCTCCAGCAGTTACTCAGTATTCTGCCCCGGTAGTTACTCAACACTCAGTGCCAACAGTAGCCCAGTACTCCGCACCAGTAGTTGCACAGTACTCCGCTCCAGCAGTTGCACAGTACGCTGCACCAGCTACTCAATATTCTGCAATAACTCAACATAGTGCTGCCGGATTAGGCGTAGCTCAATACGCCACATCAAACATCGGTGTGACACAACACGGAGCTCAAGCTGTTTCTCATGTGGCGCCAGCTGTAGCGCAGGTTGCAGTGTCTGCACCTGTCACTCGTATAGCTTCTACCCGACCTGTCACCGTCAAGAATGTGCACACTGATTTTTTGGAAAATTACGTAAGTACTTTTCAATACTTAATTTGTTAATAGTTTCTAACTAAACGTTTTTTCCTGTTATAGTAATTATAAAACCAATAACGCACAATTCTACTTTACACATTATACAACAAGTCCCATTGTTTAACACAATCAATTTAAGCAAAAGTAGGAAGTCCAATATTTAAAAAAAATATAAAGTGCATTCAGTTTTCACCTTTTGGCGTTTTAAATTAATGATTCATTTAGGTGCTCCATTGAGTAGTTGAGATAAATTCTTCGTTTTAGTAACTACATGATTGCAACAGCATCGTGAACATTATTCGAGTTTTTTAATTAATTGCTAACAGTTCAACCTTATCCTTATCTTTAACTACGACATACAGGTGCATATTTCTTTAAGCAAAAATCTTTAAAGGGCAGCTTTATGTCATAATAATCACTTCTTCCGTTTCAAGTTTCCTTGATAACGTTAAGTGCGACTATGCAAGTCGAATTTTATGTATTTGTTAGAATTTTGACATTTGAATCCCTTGCTTAATATAAATTCAACGTGAACAAAGCAATGGGTATTATATCTAACAAGTTTTGGAATAGGCACGTTGACCGGCATACTTATCGCGATTGGCAGACTCAAAGCCACGATCGACTTAAATTTGAAATGGCATAACTTTGATCCGTTTTAATTACTGCTTCTGTTTACCGGTCTTGTCTTAGTTAATAATTCGTGTAGGTGAGCAATTATAGCGCCCCAGGACATTGCGGCATAGCACACACACACGATTACTTCACATCCCTGCAAGTGATTTGATGTCGCAATTTCATCAGATCGGCCGCCCGATCCCTGGACTGGTCCGGTGACATCGAAATATTAACCAATTAGTTACTCAAAAGTAAGAAATTATCGGACACTGCATCGTGTTATGTAATTAATAAATTGGGATTAGATTTTTGCTCCACTTACTTTCTTGTATCACCGGAACTTGTAGGTTGGGTGGTCGTAATTAAATGTAAGTTAAATAGATAGGAATATTATATTTCATTTTTATTATAAGAACTACTTACTCAACAATTCCCTTCACACAGTTTCGTGTACACAGTATCAACCCAAAAACTGCTGAGTAAGCGATATTTCAATATGCTTATAAAATTACGTATCCTTTTGAGCTTTCGAGCTCTTTAACGCTTCATTCAACATGATTCGCATTCCGTTATAGGAGTGCATTTACCTCATTTGAGTTTGCGTAAGCTTTTTACTGAGCCGAGTTATAAACCTCGTTGATTCACAATCACAATATAAAAGTCCGATTCCAGCCTCGTCGTTATACAGTCCTCACTTTACACTTGCAAAATTTCTTTGACGCCTAAACAGTATTTTTTTCATAAAGTCACCTAAGTACCTAAGTAAGGTACTTTAAAAAGTATGTAAAGATAGTTCGAAGTTTTTTTTTTGTGTTGTTAAAACTGTGTGCAGTTAAGGATGGACAATAACATTAGTAAGCTTTTGAGCAGTATCTACTTACTGATTAATTATGTTATAATGAAGATTAAGATTTTCGACATAAACATAATCTCTGGTTTGGAAACTTAATGTCTTTGGAAATTAATCAAGCCTACTTACCTAGTTATCACTCCTTAGAGACAATGTAAGGTTTTGTTAGAACAAGAATTATTAGAGCCCATATAAATTATTTATTTAATAATATTTTGATGAATTAAGTTACTTTAACTTTAGCAGCTAACGGTTTTATTCCTTTACCGACTTTTGCCCATGCCACGACACCGTTTGTTTTAAGCCCGGTCCTATTAGTCCGGGAGGCACCAATCCTGAAAGCTCTTTGATCACGGATTCTAATATTTTTAATAAAAATAAAAGTTAACGTTTAAACGAACAAGATTTGCTTGGTCGGCGTGGATTTGATTGGCCGGAAATATTTCAATTACATTATTTATTATTAAATTTCTGTAAAAGTAAGTGATGTAATGGTGTATAAATTTTACCCCTTATCACACCATTCAAATAGGTATGCGTGACCTTTCCGGCTAAAAATCATTGGACGGTCGGATTTTTTCTTGTTGAACATAATATTTCACACAAAATTCTATATAAGATGGATCAAAATCCGTGATGACGGAAAAAAATTATGGAAATTTAATAATAAATAATTTAATAAAAATATTTCCGGCCAATCAAATCCACGCCGACCAAGCAAATCTTGTTCGTCTAAACGTTAACTTTTATTTTTTATTAAAAATATTAGAATACGTAATCACGGAGCTTTCAGGTTTGGTGGCTCCTCGCCTATATCACTCTTTAATCCGAATTAATTCGAATCAGTTTACCTATTTTTTTCCTTTGCTCCATTTTCTTAACTATTTACGAAAGAAGAATTTTAATTCACTTTTTCCTAACAGTACCCCTAGCATAAACCATTAACGAATTCGAATAGTTTGCGAGTGCTAAATGTCAATGTCAAGTTTTGTATGGAAAGTGAAGAGCAGCACCACAAAGTACGTAACGAGAACTAAAACTCAGTACACTTGACAATAACATTTCGGACTCGCAAACTATTCGAATTCGTGCTAAGGGTAGTTATGAAAAGTATTTTATTTTTTTTATTTTCATAACTGGCAAAGAAAAAAAACAAAGAAAATGAAAAAAAATAATTAAGAAAATGTCAATTCCAATTCAATTTTCATTTCCATGTTCGTAGTTACATAATTTAGTTTTATTTCCCGATTTATAAACAGGAACCCATTTCACCAGTTATGTGAATATCGAAAAAAAAATTATTTCATAACCAGTTAGGAAAATATTTTTCCGTAGACGATTACGAAAAACGGTTAAGAAAATGGCTCAAAGGAAAAATTTAACATACGCAGACACATTTTTTACTTTACAGAGTCAATAACTATTTTAGGCTACTAGCCGTTATAGGTATAAATAAACATTACTATTAATCCTTTTACTACATAGTTACATGAATGTAGGACAAGTGCTTCGTATTAAATAACATTGATAACGTAGTGTAGGCAGACTATGGGCTTACAAGTAGAATATATTTAAGAGAATCGTGTGTATATACTAACCTACTTTAAATAATGTGCATACTGTAATTCAAATTTCTGACAAAAAATAATAGTAACGACAGAATCTTGAAACCAGGTAATGATAAATATTTTACTATTCGATTTCGATGATTGAAGTTTATAATAAAGAAAATAAAAATTTATAAGATTGTGCCATTAGCATTTAACAGATTAGGTGGGTAAACTAATAATAATTATCAGCAAGCACGAATATTGCAATATCAGTATGTCAGTTAAAGTAATAATAGGTTAAACGATTATGGGTATACACGTATATACTAAAAAAGACGTATATTTTGTGCCGTATATACATAATTACACAGCACACACAATCAAATTAATCGAAAAAAAGCAACCCAAGTTAATTGAATCAATGAATTATCCAATCGTCTTGAGTTGAATAGTAAGTATTAGCGTATTTATCAGTAGGCTATACCGTTGCCTCAAAGGGTGCAGATTTATTTGGATTACTTGAACAACGAGTGGTATTTCTCACGCCCATTACGAAGTTCAACACAAAACTTAAGTTTATCATTACCAATTTATCTTATAAGTTATTGAGTTTATATACTTACTAAGGACTCCATAACTTACAAGATAGTACTATCGTCGTAGTAAATAACTATATCAAATTCTACTAAATCACGACCGTTTGTGATTCCGGCAGCGTTCCTGCCTTCTGCTCTATAAGGTCCTAGGTTCGATTCTTGTTACGTCACTTATGTGATGTAGTACAAATATTTGTTCCCGAGTCATAGTTTTTTTACAATTATATATTTATGTTTAAGATCCGTTATCCACTGTGCAAGCTCCGCTTATACAGCGATTAAATTATTGGCGTAGGTTTTCTTGGTTTTGGTTTGGTTTTTTCAATTTGTTATTATCCTATTTCTAAACTTTTCCAGCATCTTGAACTGTGAACTTCAAAATACAAAAATCCCCAGAGAATCTATGCATTATTTTTTTTTTCGATAAAATTCATAAAATTTGTCTGAGGGATAATACTTTCGAGTACACATTCGTTTTTTTTTTCAATTTACAAGAACCTGACGCTATAAATAGCAATTAATTACTGGCATAATACGTTTTAACGTACCATTAAGATATTCTTGGTAATAAACTATGTGCAAAGATGTGACTTCATACAGAAAGAAATAAATATTGCATGTATGGAGCGCACGTAAAAGTGACGAATGCATAACTGACCATGCATTTACTTTAAAAAATTAACACAAAATAAATACGTAAAATTAACATTGATACTTATAAAAACGGCAACCTACCCACTATATGTATTGTTTTTGCATTTTCAAGGAGCCCTTCGGTAATTATCTTTTCAACAACAAAAAGTGCTTAAAGTTTAAATACACTACCTACCTAGTTGGAAGCGGAACATAGGAACACATTTTATCCGCTCGATGAGCATCAGGATTCTTAATATCGTTGTCTAAATGTGTAATTAGTTAAAAGTCTATATTTTAAGTTTCATTTGCGAGTTTGTTTTTATTCACTTTTACGAGTTTGTTTTTATTCACTTTGCTGTTGGCTTAAGCAATCATTGCTTCGATTCGAATGTTTGAAGAATTAGTTTTGCTTAAGCCTGGACTTTGGACTTCAGCAAAACCAATTTTATAAACTCAGTTTTTTTTACATTGTAATGCTATTTATTAACGTAGATACCTCAAAAGAAATAAAAATGTGCTTTCCTTCATTTCCAAGACTATTTTATCTTTAAAAAGTATTTAGAAATGCGTAAGTATCTTGTAAGTATCTTAATCAACAAATGTCCGCACACCGAATGCGTTGAGTCCGTGACTCAACGCACACGGTGTGCGGTCTCCTCGGCGGACAATATTTTCATAATACCCGGACAAAAGTCCGTCATCTGCGCAGGCCATTAATGTACACTCTTGCAAAAAAACGGGTACCCAAGGAAATTTACGTTCTAATGTCGATTTCAGTCAATTAAATGAAATTAATTTTTTGGCGTAGTCTGTATGCTTATAATTAAAACGCGTGAAGTTAATTCTGGCAATTTTTTATTAATGTTCGATGAATTCTTTAAAAACCTATGTACACATATAAAAAATAAGAACTGTTTGGCAATAAAGACAAGAAGCTTTTATTTTTTAAATAAATATAGTTCCAAATGTAGAAACCTAATGAGTGTGACCTCCTCTTGCCAAAATCACAGCTTGAATCCTTCTGGGCATTTTTCCCACGATGTTTTTAATAACGTTTCGAGGAATACGTTTCCAGTCTTCTGCAATGACTCTATTTAGCTCCCTGATGTTATGCGGAGCAAGTTGCACTGATCTCACCCGTCCCTTTAGAACATCCCAGACACACACACAAATGCACACAGTTATATATTTAGTAATTAAGTCTAATATTTGTTTATTTGAATTCGTGTGCCGTAACATGATGGGAACAAATTATTTTTCTATTTTCTATAATCTAAGAAGTGCGCTAGTATATCTAATAATCCATTTTGATTATTGATAGGATGCTCATCCGAGATATGCATACGAGTACAGCGTAAACGACCCGCACACCGGTGACATCAAACAGCAGAAAGAAGAACGCGACGGAGAAGTTGTTAAAGGTACGTACATAAAATATATATGGAACTACGGTAGTAAGTAAGCTGCTTTCATACCGGCTAAGTACATACGTGCACTGCACAACAGTTTATAACTCTTCTCGTGGCACCACGTGGCACTGATTGACCTGACATGACGTTGACTTAGAGACTTATCAAATATTTATACCTCTTCTAGCCAAGGGCGGAGGAAGCCAAACTCTCCCCCCCCCCCTCCCCCATACCTCCCGGGGCAATGCCCTACCTTTAAATACCATTGCACAAGTACAAAAATACTACTTCCTGTAATTACCGCTGCTCTATCTTAAATACAACTCTAGCTATGGTCTTGCTTCTATCCTAAAAGAAATCAAAGGATATCCGTTGACCGCTCCATTTTCCTATGCACCCTCGCCTGTTCCCTAGATAGTTACAGTAGAACATAAATTTTGACAGTTGTACGCTTGGCATTGGCTCCGTGTGTGAGTCAAATACAGTACTCCCATGTCCATTTTGATTATTCAGTTATGCACCGCGTACCTACTGCATTGTCAATCAATCATATAAGTAGGTAATACCTACTAGGTATCTAAGAAACTATCACAGTTTTCATTAGCAAACCGGAACCGCATATGTTCCGGTTACGGCCCAGTGGACTTTGTTCGAATACTTGCGATTCCATCGTTGTTTTTGATAGCCTTTCACAAGCGCTTCAGCCACCTACACCTACCATCCCCCTCTTTGTAGTACCTACTGGTTCGGTTACTTTCAATCCATCGGCAAATAAGATGTGAATCCATCTTGTAGGTACCAAAAGACTTAAAATGTTTAAACTATTATTTTTTTGTTTCTGACTTCGTTAACAAAGTTGTCTTAATGTATCCAGGTCAGTACTCTTTGGTGGAACCCGACGGCTCCGTTCGGACAGTGGACTACGTGGCCGACTGGAAGACCGGTTTCCACGCAGACGTGCGCAACAGCAAAGACAATCACTAATAGAATTACCTATTTCTCCTATCTTTGTTTTAAGAGCTATTATTAATTTAAAAACGCTGGCACCGCAAGCCACTGCGGTCACAGCTACGTTGTATAGTACGAAATGTGATGTGTATGTGAGGCTGTAAAATTATTGTTGTAATAAAGTGTTAAATAAGTAAGTAGATCGAATGCAAGCAGAGAGAGAATAATATTTAAAAATCATATCTGTAATTGGAGAAAAATATTGTTAGTGGAACGTCGTGTGTTTAACATGCAGTGAAGATTCAAATATCCGGATTTTGTTAACTAAATCCGCAATTACCGTACTTTCATCTGCGAGTGAATATATTTGCCTGCTCTACCTAGGTATAATGTTTACCGGCATAAACCTATATAAATATGATACATCCATGAAATTAAATGCAGGATAATGTCACCGTTATAGTGTTAAGTGTTTCTACACTGAAAAATGTTTTGAGTTACATATTAAAAAAATTGTTCCCAATAGGTAAGAATGTAATAACAAGAATAGTGACTACGTAACTATAGTTACTAGCAGACAAACTCGGTTTTGTTAAAATATTTTTGTTATTAAAACAAAACAGTTATGGAAAATTTACAAAACTGTTTTGTTAATTGAATAGATAAGATGTAGTAAAGATTTAGGATCGCAAATTATAGGTATCATTATAAGAAAAAGATTAAATTCTTATTGAAAATCTTGTTATTATTTAAACAGTATTCTTGTTCTAAAGTTATTTTGTATTTTATTTACATATTGAAATGATTGTCTTCGGTGCATAGCTTATTGTACTAACTTAATCGCTTTTATTAACAAGGCATTGAGTTCCCTGTTCGTTAAATACTTTCATACTAGCGATACTTAAGAGTACAATTTTCAGTCGGTAATGGTAAATAATTGTTTTTTAGAAAATGCCTGTACTTGTCTACATTTTCTCACAATAAATTGAGCCATAGATAATATTAATATTTATTTATATATAATTTCTTCTGTACTTAAGTAATTTAACAACTCCTTCGATTCGATTTCGATAAAATTCTATTATTTGCATTCGAGTATAGTTTAGATTCACATCTGGACACAGTTGGTAGCGCTGCATTTTGCTTCAAGGATTTCATTTTCTATTTTGTCCGCTAATTTACCTATTATACATAGGATAATGTAATATTGTATTTTAGAACTGATTGATGTAATATATCCGATGTTTATACAGTATATAAATAATAAAAATTAAATATAAGTATGTATAATGTTTAAAACATATTTTTTACTCCTTACGTATATTATAACAAATAAGAGCATATCATTTTATGGTGCCTGAAATAGTTTTATATAAACGTTACCTATTCTGTATATTAAGTAGGTAGAACACGTAAATAGGTACCTAAGTAATTGAGAGTATTTTTGTGCCAATTTATAAATAAATTCTGATTTTTGATTAAATTATGGTTGTTGTTAGTTATTCACCTTTATGTAAAAAGAAAACGAAATCAAAGTACATTGTAACTTTTATAAATATGTTGGTATAATTTAATTACGTAAATCTAAAAAAAAACAATTATAACTGAATCGGAAGTGCGGGAGAAACATGGAAGCGGCCGACGGTAAAAAACATAAAAGTTCAGTGCGACCAAGCTCTTGTGGCAGTAAGACGACATCGGGAAGCTGGTGAAAAAGTGCTGAAATGAGGATTACAATCTAGTTAGATACCTAACCTCCTTACTAAAGGAAACGTTTAAACGTTTTAACTCTGAAACAACACACGGAATAAAAATAAATTAATGTTGCAAGTTTCTCGATTAAATCACCACTTATGTAGTCCTCATATCATATCAATCAAAATTTATCATAACTTACCAAAGCAAATCCAAAACGAAAATATTTTCGTAAAGTTTAAAAAAAGAAATATACTTTTTTCAGCATTTAACAGCTAGATTTTACAACCAAAGAAAATTTTTACTAGAAAAAAAAGCGAATTCATCCATGGTGATACTAGAATAACCATTCCCACGGATAGCAAACAATGTTGTGTTGGTTCTATTCTGGTCTGATTATCTAGCAGTCGATTTTTGCTAGTCAAAAATTTAACTCGCAACTTCTGCATGGAAAAATAGCTTTCTCAGATAATTTTACGCCCTTTTTCATCCCCTTATAGGATTATTTCTAGGATAAAAAAAAAATATTTTAACCTAAATGGGTTCAGAGATTAAGTGTGAAGAGGAAACTGTCGAACGGACGGACACACTTTCGCACTTAAAATATTGATAGGGAAGTATGTACGTTAGGTACTTCTTATGCTACATTAATTCAATTATAATAGAACATAATTAACGACGTGTATAACATATGATGACGTAAAAGGGTGAACATTGACGACCTCCGTGGCCAAGTGGTTTGTACGCCAGGTTTCATGGTGTCGCCGACTGGCATATGTTTGTGTGATGAATACGAGCATTATTTGTACTCCAGTCATGGATATTTAATATGTATTTCTATAAAAAAAAACTTATGTAAATGTACAGTATACGTATTCTATCCGTTACCCTAGTATCCCATAACACAAGCCTTATAGTGCTTACTTTGGGGCTAGGCTAATAGGGATGATAACTAATTTTTATTTCTTCGTTTATCAGGTAGATTATAAAAAAGTATGGGACACGTATTTTTTCTTTTTTCACATAATATAAACATTGCAGAGATATATTGATTTAAAAAGTCGCTGACGTCACGTTTTGGTACAATTTTCAGTTAAAAGTGACGTCACGAGCCCCTACTCCCAAACTTTGACGCGCTATAATTTTGTCATTTTTTGGTTGATTGCACAAAGAAAAAATAAGTGTCCATTATTTTTTGATCATCTAATTGATGGACTAAATAGAATTTCGTTTACTGTACCCCGTCATCACCCCTATTGGTGTGAGTGTTGGAAATATTTATTTATTTATTATTTATATGGTTTCTCATAACAAGAAATGATCATGTCATAAATATGAAGTTTAAAAACATCAACATAAGGCCTCAGATTTACCAAAATAAAAAAATACCATATTTAAATGTAAACTTTTAATATTATCTTTATAAATATGTATTATTTACATTCTTTTCGTAATAATGAATTATTATTACAAATAAACATGTCAATGAAGTTACTAAATCTTAATCAACAACAATCAAATCTTAATAACCTAATCACCATATTTTTATCAACAATAACATTCCAGCACCAACAAATTCTTATAAAAACTTGTAAACATAATACAAAATCAAAATACAAGATACCTTTTTATATAATTTCCATTGTAATTACACTTAGGACAAGTATAATCTTGATCTGCAGTTTTATTGGCCTGGAAAAGAAATTGGTAGGTACTTATTTCATTACTGGTAACTAAAAACAGTTCAATTATCGTACCATGGAGAAAGTAGGTACCTAGTAAATCACTAGCGTTTCATTTACTGGAAAAATATTTTGTGAAGTGCCGGCAAAACCTAGTGTGTGTGTTGCCATTGATCATTGATGACTCAGATCCACAGCGCAACGGAGGCGAAAGGTGTTCGGTTACTATAGGTCCCATATGGACTCTCAAGGTAGCAGAGCGAGCAATGGAGTTATGCTGAGTATTTCCCTTCGTGATAGAATCAGAAATGAGAAAATTTTGAAACAGAACTAAAATTACCAACATCGTTCGAAAGATTGCTCGGCCGAAGGGGCGAGAAACATAGCAAGGAAATCAAAACCGATAGGCATTGGAGCGGAAAGATTCTCGAAGACCTGGCACGATGATCAATAAAATAGAAAGTCGCGGGAAGCCGCTATATGCGGCAGCTCCAATCAGGGTGCCTTATCACCGTGTGCTATTACGTATCTTTAAACAGTATGAGATACGCCATTTTTAATGAGTTTTGCGTTATATTGTATTAAACTGTTATATGGTCACTCGCGGTTATTAGCGGTATTGCCACCATGTACCTACCTTGTTTTTTACGAGTCCTCGATATTTCGGCACTGTTGCAAGTACCATAATCACGGAGTAACTTGTGGCTAGATGTTATTGGCAGACATATAATAGATGTACCCTCTGACGTAGTCTTTATTGCGTTTGATACCCGTACCACTGGTCACGTTCTCACTATTCAATCGCACCTGTTCCCCAGTGAGCAAGTAATGTGTTCCCGACACACAATAAAAACAGTATCCAACCGAAAACCGATACCTACATTTTTTTATTTTTCCGGTTTTTGCGTACTGGATTCCAGATACTATACAATTTAATTAGACCCATCTGTCCTCACAATTGAAATTCTTGTGTTTAGTTATTTCTAGGTACCTATGTAGTGGCATTGCGACAAGATAATTTTCAGCATTTCTTAAATAGAAGTTTGAGACAGTTGTTAGTGTTCAGTAGCATACTTTCCAGTGCAATCTTTCCTACATTTTGAAGGTTGTTGGTTAATTAACTAGCAGCTCGTCTTGATCAACAGCAGCGTATAAATGCTGCTGGGGCACAGGCCTTTTATATGTATGGATTACAGAGATTGGGCCATGAACATGTCCCACCATGCTGAACCAGTGTGGATTGGTGTGTATTAACTTAATTAATGCAGCCGAGGCCAATGGCTTAACGTGCTTTCAGCAGCACGAAGGAGCTTGAGATTATAAAGTTTTGGTAACCCATCTAATGACCGACCATTGCGAAAGTTGCTTAGCTTTTACGATCGCAGGATAAACGCGCTAGCCACCTGCGCCATCGATCTCCTAAATGCTAGTTGAGCAGCTAAGCTGCTTGCTTAAAATATAGTAAACATAACATTTTTTTTTATTAGTTACCATTAAACAATAATAGCAGAATATGTGGCAGCATCCCATAGTATACGGAAGAACTGGCTTATTTTTGCAGCTAGCACAAATTGTTTTTGCTGTCATAGTAGCTTCTGTTACTTTATTTTTTATTTTATTCTGCCGTTTCCAACAACCATATTTTATTGCTTGATTCAATTTTCTCTTCAACCCAAAGACATTAATTAAAGATATAGCAGTACCAATTAATTCCTGGAAACAATAAGATTATTGCTAATAATATAAGGGACAAAATATCAAAAAAATATTGATTAATTTACTTACAATAAAATTGTTCCATAACAGTTCACGGGTCCATGAAAAATCTGTCAAATCTTCTCTAGTCAGTTTTTCAGCACTTATATCAAGACCCAATAGAAAATCTATTAACTTAGGATGTTTACCACTTTGAATAAACCTCAAAAAATTCAAAATTTCCCCAACTACATGAAAGATTTCCATTTTATATAGAAAGTTTTGTACACTGACATTTGAAGTTAAGCTAAATAAAGCTCTATCTTTAAGATATCTTAGTCCTATAGTGTATCCAAAATACCAATAAACTTTACTATTTGAAAAATTATCTCTTTTATAGTTTAATGACAAAATGTCTTGCCCAAAAGTACTTCTTTTATTGTAAATGGTATATTTGAATATCCATGTTCTAAGCAACAGATCTATTTCTGGCAGAAATGGCTCAAAAAAACCAGGCTGTAATAAAAAAGATTAAATTAGATTTTATCAGTGATGGCTCTCTTGGGATTTGGCTAATAAAAAAGAACAAAGATTTTTACACCTATATTACTTTGTACATACACATTAGGGTGTTTCATTTTTCTAAAACTTTGATTTTCATGTGACATTGATTTTCCCTGGAGTCTCACTAGTACAAAAGACATGTAGGTCAAATTTCATGAAGATAGAAGAATATTTAGAGGTTGCACATGTTGCCACTTTTTTCTCACAGTAGTGAAATATGTTGTTCTGAAATGTTTTACAATAATGTATGTTTAGCGTCTTAAAACGGAGGTGTAATTATTAAACAAATGAAACTAAACTATTTCAATATAAAAAAGCGAGATTATAATCTAAAATTTACTTCTACCATCTAATCTAGAAATTCCTAACTAATTAAAAACAGTGTCATCTATTTTGAGATGTTTTGAAGTATCTGATATTTTTTCTTTTTAAATCACCACCAGGTTTTTTATTCCGGAAGTTCCGTAGAATGTTTAATTTCCTTGATAAAAAGTATAAATAAAACTATAATTAACAGGATGATGAGATTCTGGTTCACTGCTTTCTTGATTCGAAACATGCGATGGAAGTTTACTACATTCAAATGTCCTCAAAAATGGAAGTTTCCCAAAAGAAGACCTGAAAGTTATTACAACTACCACTTCATTATCTAGAAGGTTCAATAAATAAATAAATAAAAATATTGTGAGGACCTCAAACCCCTTACATCAAACAAGGTGGATGATGTAGGCAATGTAGGTATACAATGAAAATGGTCTATTTCACCAAAGTGGATGATTCAATGAGAATATGAAGAAACAATTTGCATGCACATCATGCCAGTCTAATATAAGTATGCTGTGGCATTAAGCAACTGTAAGCTGATGGGTTCCAAAAAATTATCTGGAAATGCTATAGCTTTTCAGCACTCACCCCAATACCAATGTCACCCAAAATGCTCCTGCGGTTACCAAATAATAAAACACTACATCAATATGCATCAGACAGAAACAAATTTGCCATTTTTAGCTGAAGGTTTCAGCAAAATATTTAACATGCCAATAAACAGAATTAAAAGTATCAAGGACAAAAACCTACCTTCTGAAGGAATTGACCTGAGCCTTTTCGTTTCTACTGAAAGTACTGAAAGTAAGACTGAATACTCTGATTTTATTTGAATTTCAATGAAAATCTGTGTCTGCTCTATCAATGATCATGCAGAAAGAGAAACTTCTTTGAACTAAAACAGTGGCTGTTAAAAGCCATCGAAATTACAGGAAAATAGTAACCAAGTGGTTAAAAGAACGAATTTTGTGGTACAAAGTTGGTTAAAAGAGCAGGACTGTGATGCCCTCTTATTTAATTTATATTTAAATTTGATTTTATGTTTGTTATATGTAGTATTTTTGAAAATAGTAATAAAATGTCATCATTCTGTTAATTTTTCAAAAGTGATTAATCTGTGCAACCTCTAAATGTTGTCCAATCTTCTTGAAGCATGGATAAGTTTTATATCCTTGAGACTCGGGGGACGAGCAATGTCGGCAAAATATTTTTTTTTGCCTAACAAAATGAAATAACCTAATACACATTCACTGATACACTTAGACATACCTTCAAGTATTTAGTAGAATAATTAAGCAGTTGCTTGAAAAGTTCTTCAACTTGATTGTCCAATTGTATTGCATCTAGCTAAAAGAAATTCGGGTAATTAATACCCTTATAAAATTGCAAAACAATCAATTGTACGCGAACTCTATCGCAATAAATTAATGTTTTTTTACCTGAGTTACACGAGGTACGTAGTTAAGTATCATGACAGTAATTTATTATAACCCACTTTGTTTCTTGAAACTTTCTTTTGGCACAAAAGTGTTTACATACAATTTTTTTTTCAATGTGTCAAACAAAAATAGCGACCGCCACCGCCATACCATAGGGCTAGGGATAACGATACGAGTACATAGAAGTAACTACTCCTGACTTTTCTTTCGATACCAAGTACTTTTAGCATCGATACTTTAGAACTGAGTAACAAGTAGTATCGTGAAGTAAGTACTTGTATCGGTACTCGGTCGGTCACTCACTTAGAAGTATCAAAAAAACTCATAGGCAGATTATTTACTCTATTGTAAGGTGTCTAGTAGGTATTTTTATTTCGGGAACGCATCTTTTCTACTGAATATAAATCATACTAATAAATATAAATCATACTCAAGGCTGCCAATTGATGATTTATATTTATTCTGATTTATCTAAATTAAACTGACTAACTTGTCATTAGTTTAACGGGCGTGGCGTGAGCCGATATTTTGTTTTCGTGAAATTAAATCTGTAACTGAATTTGTAATTGTAATATCGTTCGTCAAAATTTATCGATACAAGTAAATATCGATACTTTTCATTCGATATCGAGTAGGAATCGATACTTTATGACCAATACAGTATCGAGTAAAAGTAACATTACTTAGATGGTATCGTTGCATCCTAGTTAGGGCAAGCCGTGGTCACTTCTAACCAAGAAACTTATCTTCTTGCTTCTAACAAAATAAATTGGGCGTTCCTTTTGTGACAACTATCAGATAAAAAATATTTTAAATCAGGTTGTCCTTCAAAATTTATATTGATATATTGGTATTCTGCTATAAAACAAAATGTCTTCCTTCATTTCCTGTGGGAGCCATAAGGAACAACATTTGTATGGGACACTTTTTGGATAACCGACTTTGTCCACCCCGAAACACCGTCGTCTTGGTCTGCCTTACCCCTAAGGTGTTTAGAGTCCGGAATGCACGTCCTCAAACACAAAATGTTTTACGAGACGCACACTATTCTTTTCATAATGGAAAAACCTAACATTCCGTTCGGAGTGTCAGATTCTAACTAATGATAGTTTTTATTGGTTCATTTTTCAAAGTACATATAAAGGTAATTTTAGTAAGTTTTTTTGAAGTGAAACTTCTTTATCGGCGTTGGAAAAAAATTTACCGTCACATTTTTCGGTTACGCGTCACATTTTTCCGTTACGCGCCATCTTTTTTTATATTAATAGTTGATAGCTGAATGATCACACTGTCGCCGGCGAGAACTCTCTCTACTCGTTTGTAGCTGAGTGACAATAGTTATTAAAGATAAGACTCGCTCAGCCAAACTCGCATAGCGATACTCGCTCAGCGATACTCGCTCAGCGATACTCGCTCAGCGATACTCACTCAGCGATACTCGCTCAGCGATACTCGCTCAGCGATTTCCTCAGCGATACTCGCTCTGCGATACTCGCCCAGCGATACTCGCTCAGCGATACTCGCTCAGCGATACTAGCTCAGCGATACTAGCTCAGCGATACTCGCTCAGCTATACTCGCTCGGTTAAGCTGGCTTGGCTGTCAAAAGCCGTGCGCGTGCATTTTAACTCAGGACTGCCAATTCGTTTCTAGTTTCTACTCGCTTATCGTTCATCGTCGGAGGTGGAACATGTGCCTTAGATTACTGAGCCGTGTAATGATAACAGTTTCATAGGCAGTAATTTGTATTCATGTCTATGATAATAAAATCCTTTTGTTTAAACTTTATCTAATTTAACTTTATTTAACCAATTTCTGGAAAGTTGCATGTAGATCATTTTTCGAAAAATAAGGCCATAAAGAAGTTTCACTTCTTACGTGTGTACACTAGTACACGCACACATTTTTTTTCAGTTTGACTGTAACAGAAACATTGCAAGTACAATTTGTAAATGCAAGGCTGGCCCTTTAGGAAAATGTAAGCACATATGCGCTTTAGTAATTTCTCTTTCTTAATTTTTTAGTAATTTCTCCTGAAAGTAACAAATTCAAAACTAGCAATGCAATGGGATAAACCATCTTGTCAGTAGTTAATATTCTTTGGAAAGGAATAAAATGTTGCGCTATTTGATTTATTTTCATTTTTTGATTTTTTGTGGATGTATTTGTACATCCAAAAATGCAATGATGCATGATGATTAGCTAGAAGAATAATTGTCACTAATAAAATTAATTCTGTATACTGGTTAAAATGTCAACTTATTGAACTGATAAGATTTGAATTAGCCATGCCTGTTGGCAGCACCTTCGTTGTGCAGCTTCCCTATATCTAACAATTTTGAAATTTCTAGGACTTTGTTTCCCCAAGTGACTACCTAAGGAAGAGATGCACTAACCCGCCAGATGGAAGGACCCCTCTACTCTTCCTTGACTGACCACCATGATACCACACCCGTTACCAACTGACATTACTTCATACTCCATTATCACATTCTGTTTGCGAACCAATGGCGTAGTTTTCTCAATTTTACAGCGCTACAAGGGCAGCACAGTCAGGACTATAATTTATTTAGATTTTTGTTTTGATTATTGATTGAATATTATATTCTGTCTTACTTAAAAAAAAGATAGTGATTAAAAATTAAGCAATAATCCATTCACCGCAAATCATCAGGATGGAAAATGCACCTATTTTTTGACAGATTATATTGTTATGTTTTAAGCATTTAACTGCTAGATGTTTAAATCTAAAGTTTACTAGATAAAAATCCACGCGGATCAGGCAGCAGACGAGACCGCCAGATGGAAAAGGAATAAAATGACGGGATATTGTTTTTATGTTTCTATTGAGTGAATATGTAATTGCTTAGAGTGCTGTGTTGGGATTTATTGCTGTTAGGTTCACTTGTAGCAATTTTGGTAATCTCAATTTAACTAAATCTAGATTAAGCCTATATAATGTCAAGTGGACATACATTTTGTTCTTTTTTCTATGGTTAATTCTAGTTTTAGTGAAATCTAAATTTTAGCAATGTCACTAGTGGACATTGCTCTCAAAATATGAAATATTTAAGAGTACATTACCACGATGCATTATTTTTTATCGATATCTAGTAAGGTACATCACTATTTTCACATTTCCTACTTATTTTGGTAGTTTGATAGTTTATGTTTTACTTTTAAAAGGTTGGTTTAGGTAAGTACCGCCCCATATAGATTACTTCACAGATCACTTTAAGTGTAGCAAGCTTACTTGCTCAGTGAGTTAAGGTGGCCTTGCCAACTACACTGTTTAATGCCGGTACTTCACGGGGCTATTGGTGTTAGCATTTTTTCAAACTTGATCATACTTTATAAAGAATGAAAGGGACAAAGTGATGCCAAGTTTACAAATAGCAAACATGTACAACCAAGTGAAGTGCCGGTATAAAACACAGATTTAAAAGCAGAATTATGGCTGCCATAGACGTGTTAGTAATTTGATCAAATCAATTAAGCTTGATTAAATTGGCATAAACAGGATTGGGAAAATTTGATCGAAAAGAGATCAAGAGTCTTGAAGAAATATGAAATGTTGAATTTTTATTTGATCAATCTGATGGAAACAGCCCTTTTAATTAAATTACTTGAAGGTTTGTGGCGGCCATTATATTTTGTTTTTCACTACGTGTGGAAAAGAGTTGACAAGTCCTTTACGACAAACAATCTTACAAGATAGAAAGAGACGAAAGATGATTTATCTTTGCTCTGATCAAGGAACTAATATTCTATCTGGAATGCTTACGAAACAATATTAGATTTCAAAAAATGTACTCTAACCAGTGTTACATAAAATACATTTTTGTTTCTAACTTCATAAGAGGGAAAAATGTCCCGAGCGGGACATCGATGAAAGTGGAGTTTGTCCCTTTCTTGCAATTGTCAGTGTTAATAAAAATAATCAAATGGTAGTTTTCTAGTTTTCACACTATCCCGATCACCATTAATAAGAACTAGAACATACAGTTTGAAAGTTAAATTTGAATTTATGTTTGATTGCAGTTAATTTATTAATATCAATGCAACCAAAAATGAGTTTATTTTCATTTAAACGAATAACATAATAAAATTGTTAAAAATGGTAGTCATTAGTAGTAACTTGTATTTATGCATGAGACCACTTGCGATGCTTCCAATAAACAATATGGCTCATATTCTTTCGAATTGAAGTCCTATTAATGCTAACTACAAATTATTTTGATCAAATTCTTGTGATTTGCTGGTGAAAAATGTTTTTTTTTATGCGCAATGGTATAAAAGTGAGGCGTATGCTGGGTGTGGAATTTCAATGATAGGTACGTTTTTGACTTCTGTTTACAAATTATATGTGTAGGGTAACAAATCATTTTCTATTCTCTTACGGAAAGTATATGTCATCGTCATCATCAGCGTATTAATGTCCACTCGTGGGACACAGTCCTTCCCTATGGATAAGATCCACCAAGCGGGCCCAGTGTGGATTGGTGGGTGCTAACGACTGCAGTTGCAGCCGGGACCAACGGCCTAGCGTGCCTTCCAAAGCACGGAGGAACTCTAGTAAGTATGAATGATTTTGGTCACCCATCTAATAACCGACCACTGCGAAAGTTGCTTAATTTCCACGATTCATGCTATAAGCTAGCTTCATACTATAATTAACTTAGACCGATTATCATAATAGACAATTTTAAAGTTGCGCCATCTATGAGATTTCAAAAACATCAAGTCGAATTACATCTGTAAGCACTTTTTGGATATAAATCAATAGTTGTTTTTAAAAGTCATAGACGTACTAATAATGTATCTTTAGAAATAAACCCCCTTTTGGGGTGAAAAAGTATGTGCTAATAACTAACTCCACGCGTACAAAGTCGCAGGCGGCCGCTAGTTACATAAATATATGCTCATCAAAAAAATTACTTGTTATACGGTTATGAATGAACTTTTGAACGATTTTTACTATAGGGTGTTTGACAGTATTAAAAATAAAGTGCCAATTGTTAGCATCTGTGTTTAGATTAAATATTGGCAGAGTTTTTACTATTTTTATAAAAAAAAATATTCAACAGGGACAAATTAACCAAAACAAAAACAATAAAAAAAATATTCATAATTTTACTAAAAACCCTTGTAAAAGATAATAGTTTTCTGATCTATTGTCACTTGACCCAAAACGCCAGGGTTTGGCGGAGCCTAAAATGACGTCACACGCAAGTAAACTTCCGGTTAAAGCGACATTACATTGTATCGTTTGACGTTTTAATAACAGTCGTGTGACGTCACACACTAGTAAGACGCCATATTGTCTAGAGAAACGTTTTCACGGCAACTAGAAAATGGAGTTTTTGATTTGGTTATTTTTACTGAAATACACAACAGAATGTTGAATATCCTCATTTTACGGTCTGCATAAACATTAGTTAATAACGTGAGATTGTTGCCTAAAACTTGTCAAATACCCTATTGCAATTTATTTATGCTATGCTATACTATACTATACTATACTATAAACACTATGGAAA